CGCGTCCTCCCGCTGGTCCCGGCCAGCGCCGTCGCGGACGCGCCCAGCTGCGGGCCGTCCGGGCCCCTGCCTGCCGGGGATGGGCCCTGGGGTGAGGATCCAGAAAAGTCTTCCTGTCCTTGTCCTGCGCCGCCCCCGCCTCGGCTGGGTGGGCACCCCACCCCTAAGGGGGGCTTTCCGGAGCCACTTCTTGCCCGCCCACGGCCTGGGGCAGGTGGCGTGGGAGGGACCCGGCACCACCCGAGCGAGGCCTGGCCGGCCGCAATCTCCTGTTGGCGCCGCCTGGGCGCCCCAGAACCCCCACCCAGGGGAGCTTGGTCCTGGGGGAGGCAGCCAGCCCGCAGAAGCCAGGCTGGGGAGGGCAGGGGCGGCCAGGGTGAGGAGAGGCCCTGGAGCTGGTCCTTTTGCCTGGGGGTGGGTCATGGGCTGGGGTGGGTGTCAGTTTTTTGGTCAAAGAAGGGAGAAGGGCGACAGGTCCCTGCTGGCGACTGCAGGAGCTAGTCCCTCCTGGTGGGGGCAGGGGCCTGGCCAGAGGCTGAGATCTGAGCGTCAGCCCCAAGTTGGCTGCTGTGCTGGGGCTTCCCTTCAGTGCCTCCTGGGCTCCAGGCCCTGCACCCTGCCAGCTATGGAGACGGAGGGGCTCCCGCCTGGGGGAGGGGCTGCTGCCCATATTTTCTCTGCTTCTGGAAGGTGGCTCCTCCTCTTCCCCTCCATGTGGAAAAGGGCCAGGAAAGGGGGGGCGGTGAAGGGAGGCCCCTGCATCTGGCCACAGGGCCCCTAACTCCAAATCTCAGGCGTGAGAGTATCAGCTCTCCGGTGACCATGCCCACAAAGGGAGGGTGCTGAGCATCTAAAGAGGACGTTGTCATCAGCTGGGAGCCCCGAAAAGCCTGGGGGTTGCGGACTATGGGCAAAGGGCAGGAAGTAGCACCTGAATTTTTGCACAAATCCAACTTGAGTCCACCGGGTCTTGAGGGTGTTGGCACTCGGCTGGGATCCCTGCGGGCTGAGGTCCGCAGCTCCTTGGACGGCTGCTCACCCCTGTCCCAGTCCCAGGAAGTAAGAGCCAAGTGTCGCCACCCGGTCTCCTGTGGGTGCCAGCACCAGTAGCTCCCGGTGCAAAGGAAGGACCACTTCCCAGAGCCCCCCAGTCCCATGGCTTCTCTGTCCCCCTTGAGTTTTCGGGAGCGGACCTGCCTGTCAAGAAGCGGGGTGACCCCTGGACTTGCCTGCCCTCCCCGGGAGCACAGGTAGGTCACATTAACGTTATCGTTTGAGGCTGCTGGCGGCTGGGTGGTGACTGGGACTTGTTAGCCGGCGGGGGGGTGGGGGGGTGGGGGTGGTTCTGCACCCACCCTGGAAGGAGGTGGCAGTTGCAAGGAGAAACCAGGAAATGGTCCACCCCAAAGTGGGGCGAAAACCACCACAGCACTGGCAGGGGCCCAGCCCAGCCTGGGTGGGGCTGTGGAAGCTTCCTTGGAGTGCTGTCAGAGCTGAAACTCAAGGAACAATTGGACTTCTCTGGCTGTGGGTTTTGGAACTAAATTCCTGAGGAGGGACCGGCCTGCATGGGGACGCAGCCTGAGGGCCTACTGGCCATAAAAACTGTGGGACCTGGTGTTACGGGGAGTCTGGGGGGAGATGGCCCCTGGTGGAAGGGCTGAGTCTACAGAGGGGGCGGGGCGGGGGTCCCCCTGCTTGGGAGACAGGGCTCGCCGCTTGCAGAGGGAACACAGGTGCTGAGCGCTTGATTCTGGGGCTCCGATGCCCCAGAAGACCCGGAGAGAGAAGCCTTGAGGGACCTGTGCGTTGAGAGGTTCTGGAGGGGCCGGCAGGTGCAGCGGGAAGGTCAGAGTACTGGGCAAAGTCCCCAAGGCCTGCCTGAGACGTGCTCCAGAGGGGAGCAGGACAGGATGAACACAAAGGGGCCAGGGCTGGGGGTGGGAGGGTGGGCAGCTGGGCGGGGGCCCAGCTTCCAGACCCCCCTTGGTCTCCTCTCGGCTCTCTCTGTCTCCCTGCCATCTCCAGGTCCATTGACAGGGGCTGCTTCAAAATGAAACCGGCCTCCCAGGGCTGGGGCGTACCAGGGGTGGGGCGGCAGGGCAGGGCAGGGCAGGAGGAGGTGAGGCCAGCCAAGGAAGGCAGGTGGACCTTCTGGAAGCGAGAGGGGAGAGTGGAGGACCTGAAGGGGCCTCCCAGGTGTGTCAGAACCTGTCCGCGGAAGGAGCACGCGTCCAAGGTTTGCCCTCAGCCTAGAGCTGGGCCAGCAGGACGGGCTGGGCTGGGGAGCCAGGGGCCGGACACTGGGGCAGATGTGGCTTGTGGGAACCAGAAGGGCAGGAGGTGTTTCCTGCCACAGCAGGGCTCAAGGTCGCACGCACACACGCATGGCCGCTCCTTCACCCCTCGGCTGGGGTGAATGGGACACCCTTCTTGGCTGGGCTCTTGGGGGCCCTCTGGGGAGGCAGAAGTGGCGCCTGGGAAGGAGACAGTCTAGGTAGGGTGGATGCAGCTTGGGTGCTTTTTCAAAACTCCTGGGCCTGGGGGGAAGGTGTGGGGTGCTGGACTTGGCAGGAAGAGGGGGTTTCATATTTCTGAGAGTTTCCTGAGTTTCCATGGCACCCAGGACCTGGGGCTAAAAGAGGGAGGCTGTGGGAACTGGCTACGCCGCTCACTAAGAGGAAGGCTGCTCCCACCATGCCTGTCGCTGCTGGGGTCCCCCAGTACAGGTGAGGTCTTCAGAGGGGGTCGCTCAGGGAGCAGGGGAGCGGGGGGGTTCATTGGACCCCGGCTGTCCATTTGGGGAGGGGACCTTGGCACTTGGGACGACCGGTTAGGGCAGCTTCGGGGCTGGGGGCAGCGCGGCCTGATGGTGGCCCGGAATTGAGCCAAAAACACGGGGTGGTGGGGGGGACACTGCCCGCCCAGTACACAGTGCCCAGTGCGTGACCGTGCGTGTTATGTGTAGCTGCATATCTGTGCACCATGCCCGCGTGCATCCGTTTAAGTATCTCTGGGTTTGCCTCGGATCGTGTGTGCATCTGTGCGTGTGTTGCTAAGTCCCTATCGACCTGTGTGATGCCTGGGTTTCCTCCGCGGGTGTCTGTGTCTCTATGAGTCGGTCTCTGTGTCCGAGTGCCCGGGGACGGCTGGGCCAGCTGTGGGTGGCAGGGGCCCCGCAACACCCTGGCCGGTGGCAGAGGGTCAGCGAGCTTTATTTGGACCCGATGGGGGCTTCCAGGGGGCTAGTTTGCAGGGCGATTTCAGACAAGACCTGTGCCTTCCCGAAACTGCTGGGCACTTCCCTCGGTGTTTGCTGCCCACTTCTGGGCTGCACCCGTCCAGGCTGGCCGCCTGGCGCTTCACGATGGCCCTGACGGTGAACTTTGCTGGAAACGTGGCATTGCAAAAGCCGGGAGCCCGGTCATGAACGGAAACGTGCTGTGTGTGCCTGTGGGGGATTGGGGCTGCCCTGGCTTGGGGCAGCTCGGTTCTGTTCTGCCAGTGAGGATTGAATGTCATGTGCGTGCCGGGGGCCAGACCAGGCCAGGAAGTCCTGCCTGCTGAGTGACACAACCAGCAGAAAGAATTTCAGGAATTGTCCCACCTGCCTTATCCCAAGGGTTGCTCACCTGGCAGCCCCTCCTCTGCCTCCTGCCAGCCTGGCTCTAGGAAGTGGGTGAAAGGAGATGCCAAGGCCAGTGTATGGGCCTCTGGCCGCCTCCCAGGGGCGGTGCCCCTCTGTGATATCTGGTGCCAGGGCAAGAGGCAGGGAGGTGACAGGTGGGCTGGGAGAGGGCTGCATCCTGCCCCACCTGGCTCCATTCTGTCCTCCCCAGGTGGCCGGAGCCGTGGTAGCCGCAGTGGCCAGGCGGCGGCAACACTCCTAGCAGAGGATGGCCCAGGCCCTGGAGCGGCCCGAGGGCAGCTGGGCCTGGGTGGTGCTGCTGTCCTCCATGGTGACCCAGGGCCTCACCTTGGGCTTCCCCACCTGCGCCGGCATCTTCTTCACCGAACTCCAGCGTGAGTTCCAGGCCAGCAACAGCGAGACCTCCTGGTTCCCCTCCATCCTGACAGCCATGGTCCACGCAGGGGGTGAGCAACTAGGGGGCCCAGGGTGGGATGGGAGCGCCCAGGCTGGGGAGGAAGGGCCCTCGTGGTCCAGCTGGAAGCTCTGCCCAGGGCTGAATTCCTAGTCACCTGCTTTCAGCGGGGCCTGTCCCCTGGCTGGAATCCCCATACCTGGGGGGAACACCTGGGCCTGGCCAACCAGGCTGGGCCAGGCGAGCTGGGGGAGGTACCTGCCCTGTGCTGGGCGGGTGGGAGGACCCATCCCAACTGGAGGCAGGCTGGGTGTCTGCACAGCCCCAGGAGTGACTGGCGGTCAGAAAGCAGCTGCATCACCTCCCCGAAACAGCTTTTTCCTCTAGATCTGGGGATTCCATCCGGCTTCCTGCCTGCCTGCCTCCCACACAGGCTGACAGGGGAGATCACATGAGACCTCGTGTTTTAGAGCTTCTGAAGGAGAGGGGCCCTGTGAGGCTGGGAGACAGAGGGAAACCAGGCCTCACTCTGGTTCCCCGTTTCCTAGATGACTTTTCCAGCAGCCTCACCACCCCCACCCACCCTTGGGTTCTGCAGAGGAGCCTGGGCCCCGGCCGTCTGCTGGGAGTTCTCGCAGGAGACTCCACAGACAGCCACTTCACAGGGCCTGGTCAGCTGGATGCAGACGGCAGAACACGTCGCTCTCCCCGCGCTGTGCTTGCTGCCCTCAGCTGCCTCCATCTCCTTGCCTACCTCTTGCCACTCTCCCTCTCTTGGCACCAGAAGCCTGTTTGTTATTCCAGGTTCTTCCCTCAACTAGGAGCAGGCCGGGCTGTGGTAGATTGCCACCTGGCTGAGATGACCCCAAAACCTGCCACCCAAGGGGTGGGCTTAGGGCAAAAAGAAAGGCCAGACCTGGCCCAGGCCACTTGCCCTTTGGGCCTTCAAGGTTGGGGCAGACGTGGGACTCTTCCCCTAGGTCAGAGAAGGATCTGGGCCAGGCTGGAAACCAAGGCCTCCAGAGGTCGCCAGCCGGTCCACTCCCTGGCCAGCATTAGGCTCGCCCTCAAGGTACTCCACCTCTCTGGTGGCCTGGGACTCTCTGCCTCTCTCCCATGCCCACACACACACCTCTGCCCATGTTCATTCTGAATATCATAGGCATTTAACTTATGTATTTATTTTAAAGATTTATTTATTTGTGCATACAAAAGCCAGACGTGCAGGGGATGAGAGGATTCGCCAGAGACCGAACAGGCAGATTGACTGAAATACACTGCTGAGGGGAGCAGTGGGGAGATAGGAGAGGTCTGCTGCACCCTGGGGGTCCTTCCCTGGCCAGGGATCGAACTCATGGTGCAGGGGCTGATAGCTTCATAGTGCTGCGCTTTAATCCCTTGCATCACCAGGGAGGGCCCTATCATGGGCATTTTAAACCTAGAAGTATCACGGGTCCCAAGCACTCTACCGCGCCCCAGAGAGCAAGCAAGCACCAAGTGTGAGGGCCACCCTGGTGACGGCAGAAGCAGCAGCCGACAGGGCGAGCCCCTAGCTGTTCCCCCGTCCAGCAACCTCCAATCTCAGTGAAACTGGGAGTGTCCCAGCTCCCACCCAACTCAGTGACTCAGGGCTTTTCCCCAGTGTCCGTCTTTGCTAAATCAGGCGCGAGCGTGGATCAGTGTATCCTCCAGGGCTGACCTCTCCCTCTGCTGCCACAGGAACAGTGTGTCAGCAGCCTCTTGCTTCTCTTGGCATGGGCACTGGCTTCCTTGCCATCTGGCCTCACAGTGGCTCACACGCTGCCCACGTGTCCACACGCTTTCCCTGTCCCTTTCGCCTCACTCTGGGAGAGGAACTCAAGGGAAACTCCACCATGTGGGCTTGGGGGGCTGGGCCCTCCCTTTGGGGTGTGTGGAATAGCGCAGCAAGGACTGCCCCCGCCCAGCAGCCTCCACTGTCAGCGAGAGAGCAGGGCAAGGTCCCGGACCCCCCACCAGCAACCAGATTTCTCGGAGCAAGAGTAGGGAAACAGCAGGAGGGTCTAGTGAAACCCACTGCTGAGGGGGGCAGTGGGGAGACAGGAGAGGTCTGCTGCACCCTGGGGGTCCCTCCCTGGCCGGGGATCGAACTCCCAGTGGCAGGGGATAGCTTGATAGCGCTGAGATTTTAATGCCTGTCCCTCGAGGTGGACCCTGCTCACCAGGATTTAGATGCCCTGGGATGTGTCCGTTGAGGTCATGAACCATCTGGTTCAGGCTGGAGGTGGCCTCAGGTCGGTGCAGAGAAAGCCCTCGTCTCCCTGGGGATCCTTGCCCGGTAAGACTGAAGATTTGCAGCACCTCACCTCACCATTGCTCATCTCTCTCAGTCGGGGGTGAAACTGAGGCCCAGAGACAGCCTTCCTTGGGACGCGTGTCATGGCGGGTCAGAGACCAGAATCTAGGCTGGAGGGCTTCCTGGTCACGCAAGGGGTTAAGTCTCAGCACTATGAGACTGTCCCAGCCACCCAGCAGGAGTTAGATCCCCGGCCAAGGAGGGACCCCCAGGGCAAAGCTGACCTCTGCTGTCTCCCCCGCTGCTCCCCTCAGAAGTGGATTTCAATCAATCCACCTGTTCTGCTCCCCACTGTCTCTGGGGAATCCTCTCATCTCCCACACCTCTGGCCTGCACCCCAGCTCTTGTGTGCATCAATAAATAAATCTTTAAAAAAAAAAAAAAAGAATGTAGGCCTGGAGCCTCCAGGGGCTGGTGCCCTTCAAGCCAGCTGGCTGGTTCCTGCTGGAACCTGCCCCTACCCGCAGGCCTCTGCAGTCATCCGGCGACTCCCCGCCCCTCCGCAGGGCCCCTGTGCAGCATCCTGGTGGACCACTTTGGCTGCCGCGTGACGGTGATGCTGGGCGGCGCGATGGCCTGCCTGGGCATGGTGGCCAGCTCCTTCTGCCGCACCCTCAGCGAGCTCTACATCACAGCGGGATTCATCACAGGTGACTGCTGCTCCATGCCAAGGCTCCCCGGGCGCCAGGTGCAGGTGAACCGGGCGGGCACAGCGCCTACTTGTGAGGCCAACAGTGGTCTTGCGAGGGAGGGTGAGCAGCCGTGAACAGATTGCTAAGGAGGGTGGCTTCTGCTCATGACCAGCGCCTGACAAGGCAGGACCGCTGGCGTGACGGTGCCCGGCTCGGGGGAGGGCGGCAGAGACCGAGCGAGCCAGGAGGATACCAAGTGCAGCCAGGGAAGCAGGCCTGGGGGCCACCGTGTCCCCACATGGCGCTCCTGAAGCTGCCAGAGACCCAACGGGCGAGGGAGTCTGCCACAGGGGTCTCGGGGAAGAGCACCTTAGGAGGGGACCCGCCAGGACTGTCAGGGGACATTGAGGAGGGGGCCAGAGGGCAGCGGGCCGTGAATAGGGGGGTCTCGTCTCATGCCACCCTTACTTGTAGAGCGCCCCTCTGCTGTGGTGTTGACAACACTAGTGAGTGCCAGCAAGGGGCGGGGGATGGGGTGAGGGTGGTAGCTGCACCCCTGGGGGGTATGACCAAGGCTGTGAGGATGGCTGGGCTCAGGCTGGGCTCACTAGAGGCGCAAAGACAAGCAGGAGGACCCCAGTTGTGAGGCGGGTGGCGCTGAGTCACCAAAGGAATGGGGTGGCTGGAACGGACGTGGGGGGGGGGACGGAGTGAGCAGCTGGGGGGACGTGGGAAGGTCCGGTGGGACAGGCCGTGGCCGGAGTGGCGGGGAGCCTGGGGACCATGAGAAGGATGAGATACCTCCTCTGGGGAGAGGTCGGGGGAAGGGCCTGGCTGAGCCCGATGCCCAGTGTTGCGGGAAGGAGCCCCCCCCTCCCCCGCTTGCCCAGGCTCTGAGAAACTGAGCCAAGAAGCGTGCAGAGGGACGCTGGCTGTGTCGAGCTGCTGCGAGCGCAGAGGACCAGGCTTGAACTTTGACTTGGTAGCAGGGAGACTGGCGGTCTGGACAGGGCAGTTTGGAGCAGGGTGAGGGTGAAAGTCTGACAGGTTCAGAGAGCAGAGGAGGCCGCTGGATGGAGGCGCACAGATGAAAGGGACGAGCACCCAGAACGCTGGGCAGCCCCCAGGGTGGGGTTTCTTTCTTTCTTTCTTTTAAGATTT